AAGTGTGAGTTCTTCACCTTTGGCTGACTCTTTAACCTCACCTACATTCTGAACTTTAGTTTGTCCATCAGGGAGCCACAACCAGTTCATGACATCATATATTGGTAAGACATCACCATTCTCATCAAATGACACCTGATCACCAAACGGTGTGGTGAAGTTGACCTTTTCCAAGTAATACACAAGCTATGGATATCAGAATAAGAGACAGAGGAAGACCAGTAATGGCAACAATGTTATTATGACCATTGTGAACACAGTGAAATCCAGTATTCAGTAATCAAACTGCATACTGTACTTATGAACATATGAGCACTAACAGTCCGTTCAAAGCATTTCTTTTATAGTAAAGTCACGTCACTGATACTATTGTATACCTGGTGCAAAGACATTGCTGTCTGTGACTTGATAACACTATAAAATGCTGTCACCCAGTGGTAAGGAAAATCATTTCAGCTATCTGCTATGCGGTTGTGTGTGTGTGTGTGTGTGTGTGTGTGTGTGTGTGTGTGTGTGTGTGCGTGTGTATAAACTGATATCACACCTGCCATGGTACCAGTCTTTGCAAAGTAGCACAGCTGTTCCTATTGAAAGGTCCTCTCCCTGGCTCACACTGCAGCATGTCATCAAGAGCATATGCCAGGGCATACACAGCCTTGTACACATTATATTCTGGCCTGAGGTTTGAAATGTCCAATAATTCAGTGTCCACATTTTCTAGATCTTCCTGTCCAGTGCATAGTGATCCCCCAGCTTCCACCCAACCTGCTTGAGGTGGTGCAAATTTACACTGAAATGTGTGTTCCCAAAACTTTTTTACCTGAAATGTATTGAAAATAGGGGTGTTACATTAGACAAAAGTCCCGGGTTGGAGTCACGGTTTGGTGTGTGTTCAGTACAGCAGAGAACAAAACAAAACAACAAACAAACAAACAAACAAACAAACCAACAAAACCCCTCAAGACAGAAGGATCTTTTTTCTGAAAATACATGGAATATTAAATAAAACTTGTGCTTTTGTATAGTGCATAGTATGACTGTTTTGCATGCCTATTCACTTTGTGTGCTAACCCTGGCATATGTTAATGGCATATGGCTAAATGTTTTTGGGCTGAGCTTGTGAACTTTGGTTCCACATTGTGTGCATCAATTTACATGTCATGTATTCTGCGTGTGGCTGCTTGCACCAGACCGTGACCCCATACCATGATGTTTTGGTACAGTTAATAAACTGTTACACCACTAACTGAAAACTGCTTGTTATACACAAAGATAGTACAATATTATTCTTACTAATACCAGGCTAAATTGCAAGGTTAAACTCTCACCAGGATATTTCCATAGCTGGTGTTGTGTTGTAGGTCAGACCGCATTTGTAGCAAGAAGTCCCTGAACCCTGGTATGTGTCCTCGACGGATAGCAATGCCCAGAGTGCCACCCAGGTATGGCATGAACTGAGGAGTCTGAAGCACGGTAGCTGCAGTCCAGGCTTCACTGGCCATCCACTGCAGGCCTGTCACATTCTGCCTCACCACCTGTGCATTGCATTGTACAAAATACATAAATTCATACTGTCATGACATGGTTGATATCTTGTCTTACTCGTAAACTGGTGCAGTCCTGTGTTTTACACAGTATTATGAACAAAGTGGTGCATGTCATCATAACTGGAGGTCAGTAAAATTTGTCTAAGTTAGTGCCTATAACAAATAAGAGGTGTGATTTATTCAAATAACTCTATTTGTAACAGGACAATTTTTTTATTGTAACTTAAATCCTTTGGTTTGACCATTAAAACATAAAGCTGTATAATAACATGACGTTACAATTGAGATGTTTTTCCAAGCCTAACCTCTTTCATGAGGTTTATCATGAGATTTTCATGTGCAAACGCAATGACCACACGAGCTGTAGATTTCCTCATAACATCCACAATCCTCCTTAGTTCAGCTGGATCATTGCCCCAGGGCAAAACCTCTAAGTAGGCCAGACAGCCTCCACCAGACTGAGCCAGGTCAGATTGGAAGGATCGGGCAGCATGGAGTCCATAATCATCATCACTGACCAGCAGACCTGCCCAAGTCCAGCCAAAGCGCCTGAGAATCTGAATCATAGCACGCACCTAAGTAAGTACAGAGTGGAGGGATTAGAGCACAGGTTGGAATAATCTTAGAGTGGAGAAGCTGCTAAATAGGTTTCACAGTGGATCATGTTTAATTATTGTCTTTCAGCTTTGTTAGCTGAGACCAAACAGGTCCAGTGATGCAAAGAATATGACAGATTTTTCACAAAAGGAATATATTGTTCCTTTCAGTACAGGGAAGTTATTTCTTAAGAATGTTTAACTGGACATGCTTTTTCAAATGCATTTGTATTTGCTGATAGATGGTCACCTGGAAAGCATCACTTGGGATCGTCCGAAAAAACGATGGGAACTTCTGCCGGTCGCTCAGGCACGAACATGTGGCAAAATAACTTACCTGTGAAAGACAGACTGTTCATCCTAAAAAACATTATAAAACTTAATCGCCTCTTTCAGCTTTTGGAGTTTGATTAGTCAATGTTTATAATTGACGTTAAATTTAAAATATAATCAAAATGATCCAAAAGAATTATGGTGGAAAACTTACCATAGGTACTCTGTACAAACCTAAGACAGCAGAGATGGCAATGGAACGTGTAGAGGAAGCATCACCCACAATCCCTACTACCGGAGGGTTTCCTGCACAGGTCTTATCTAATATGAACTGCTCCTCTTGACCACTGGCTAATGACAATGCTGCACGGAATCCAATGCCTAGTGAGAGGCAGTTGTCATAAAGACTGTATCCCAGAGTCACATTAGGCAGCAGGTTGGAATTTCTGTTGATCTCATCAATAGCAAAGGCCATGGTCTGGGCCTGCCTGAATCCTAGAACATCAAAACTAAAAGAAAAATATCACTGTTGGAAAATACAACAACTGATATTTACATGCACAAATACAGATTTTACTAAAAATTAAACAGTTGAACAGCAACAATTATTATAATACTTGAATATGAAATGATTAAAAGAACCAATAACAAGTGATAGGTCTGAAATGGCATAAATACAAAATGTAATCTGTAAGAGTAAGATCTTATTATTAAAAACACATTCAAGTCATGGGACTGATTTCCCCCAGTCTTTGCTTTTCACTATTTCACTGACAGACTGACCTGTGGCAGGTAGGGTGTTGTGGCTCTGAGGTAAAAGACAGGTCAGGAAAGACAGAAAAGATGTGGATCTCAAACAACCCACCCAGAACCACATCTCCTGCCATGTGCATCCCATTTAGATGAAACTGTCCCAGTAACTGGCAGGAGGTGGAATCAAGAGGAGAGATCATGGCATAAGAAAAGTAGAAATACAACAACATGAAACACATGAGTAAGAACAAGTTGATATGTAAAAATGCAGACATGACTTTCCTCCTGTTTACCCCTATCTTACCTGATGTCAACTTCTTTTATCGACTTATTTAATCTTGCACACCACCCATCAGGGCATAAGCGAAGGTAGGGGCAGGACTTAATATTCATTACATTAGAGAATTATTTTGTGTTGAGGCAGAATTAATTTGTGCACTATTAATAATATCCCACCAAAGTCATTTGAAGTTGTGGAATACTCAACCAATTTGTCAAATGTTTGTATTGCATGTTTCAGCAAACCACAGATGTGTAATATTTGTACATGAATATCGAGCACATATGTTGAAACTTTATGTTTCAACAGCGCTATGGTTAACATGATGTGGTCATGCTAAGGCACAAAAAAACATTTGGTTATATAGTTGGAAAAAGATCATGGTTTGGCTAAGTGGCAACCTGTGGGGATGAAAAACGAAGGCATTGTGGAAGTACCAAAAACTGCAGTTCCTGGAATGGTCACTTGAGGCTGACTCCAAGAGAGCGTCAATTCCCATGGCCACCCATGTTAAAATGGCCAACTTTACAGTACAAACAAATATACAGCCTGGAATCAATCAAAATTCAGAATATGACACAGAAGGTAGCCTCCTGCATCCATTTTAGACATTCATGGATGGTGTTTCAATTGATGCTTTGCACTGTCTTTGCAAAATACATATCTGTTCTCACAGGACAGGCACAGTGTATGCTCACTGCATGCATATAATATTTTTCAAAACAAACTTACTGAATAGGTAAAACACTTCGTTTTTATATTTTTTTTATTAGATTTAGAAAAAGGACATGGTTGGGTTAACATCATGGTTTGGCTTGAAACAAATACGGTTCTTCCAAACATATTGTCATGTTATGTGACATGTTATCTGATAAGTGTTACTAGTGTAGCATGCTACACATACTAGCATTCTACATTGACTCAATTCTCCCTTCTCAACTCAACTGACTCCATTGACTTATGGTATCATATGGGAAATCGAACAATGGCCTCCCAAGTGAAGGTCTGGCGTTTGTTTGACCGATCCATCTCCCCTCCCACCAACCCTTTATGGAAATTCAGGCTCTTTTTATTGTGGTAGTTGCTGGTGGCATCAGAAATAGGTGCCTTCTTGTGCATATGTCACCACCATTAAGAGTATCTTGGGGCATCGGTGACTGACGCAGACATCCACTGACAAAGCGTCGGTATTAAACGAGATTAAACGCGAAATAACTCTCACCCGGTGTGTATCATAATGCCCCGAAAGGTGCCCCTCTATGTCAGCATCTGATGCCAAAATCACTGACAAAGTGGTGATATTTGACGAATTAGAAATGAGAACAGACTGTGATATCAGGGTGTGCATTGTCTTTACACAGTCTATGGTTTTGGCCTAAAAAAACAGATTTTGATGCCACAATCACTGCTGGATATGTAGCAAACCTTAAAACACTAAAAAACATCCACTTTTGGTGGCACAGTAAGCACTGGAAATAGAACAATGTCTCATAAAAAAAACTGTTGTTGTTTTTTGGTAATCTCGCACAGTAGTCTGCAATGGTCTGCAGGTTGTAGCTCTCTCACCTAGGTGACACACTATCCCCTTCACCTTCCAGAGACAAAGTCAGCTCATATACATGTCAAAACCATGCTACTGTAGAAGTGTTCATAAGATACATATGTAATATACAAATGTAATGCATCCTTGGTTTGCAGAATTTGTACAATGCCAACATTTTCTTCTAGCGACTGGGCTGTGACTGTAAATGTACTTAAATTTGCTCAACAATCATATTATGTGTTCATTAGATTTTTTTGAATGTCATTAAATGGATTTCAATATGTCTATTTTCAGTTGTAGATAACAAAGACAGACTGTTTCACCTTTCAGGAAAGCATCTACTTGCCCTGATGTAAGGCATATGCGAAGGGGTGCAAGTTTTCTTCAGAATGACAAGCATACCAAATTACATTAAACTCACAGAATGCTCAAATCAGGCCTGAGTATGTCCACTAGATGGTAGCAGCATACCAAGACATTTGGTGAAATAATCCATCCTCCCTTGCACTGTGATTTCCCCATTAGACCTTAGCCTGTCCAATCTGCAGAGTTATAGATTTGGTAAGTGTTTGTACTACGGCTGTCAAACAGAATCTTTAAAGTCACAATTAATCACTGAATTTCAGTAGTTTATCACAATTACTTGCGCTTTTAATCACGTTTAAAATTCCATTTTATTTTGCATTTCAAAACAGTTTTGAAGTCCATATCTCTCAGGTGAAGCAATTCTTAAAAGAGACCTGTCTCTTTACTGCCACAGTTTTCAAAGATACTA